GTTTGCTGTAACTGAATATAAAGTGTTAGATGAAGTTTCGAATCAATGTGTTATTTGTATTCAAATCTGTGAATTAATTTAGCACAGCCCCCCTTCACCAAACTGACAATGCTACTGTCTGCTGTGTCCTGGCTTGATTCTCCAAAGTTGTGTCTCACTAATACAGGAGATTTTTTACTGGACTAGATCACCAGGTGAAAACAGAGGGGAAAAAGCCAATGGTAAGATAACAGGATCAGCTGCCACATCTAATGATTGTTTCTCGGCCTTTTGGCTAAGATCAAGTGTAGTATCTGTTCTTATCAGTGTCCAGTGGGGGTGCTCCCGGCCATTCTAGCTTTGCGGGGATGGCTGTTGTATAGTACCCTCACTGGTATGATGGGGTCCGGAAGGCTAGTACCAGAGGGACAGAAACCGGGGAGCGCCACGAGTTATGCTGGGGCCCCGGGAGTAATTCCTCCGAAAAGACTGGAAAGACCCAGTACCTCCTGATTTGGACGGATCTACCTTGGTCTGGCCAGGGGCTGGGAAGGCAGAGAGTCCGCAAACTAGGTGCCTCCTGAGTAGTCGCCTCAGGGGTGCTCTGAGTAGCACTTGGGTGTGGGACCCCACGTTGCGAATGAGTACATGGTCACCGAGTTTAAACACTTTTTGCACTGCGCCTCTAGGACCGGGCCTTTTGGTCAAGTTCTGGGCAATTTTTTTTGCTACAGGCCTCAGGGTCTGGTCAGTGCACAATTTGGACACAACACTTTTTATTATTTTTATAGATTTATTTAATTCATTATTTATTTATTTTCCTCACCCCACGTTTGTCACTTTATACTTTTGTGTGTGTTTTTTTGTCACAGGATGGAGGGTGTGGGTCCTCGGGCCTGCCCTGAAGTCTAGGGGGAGGATGTGTGGCCCTACGGTTCCTTCCTCCCCTGTCCCTAGGGGGTTTTCTCTTCGGGAGAACCCCCTGGCCTAGTACTGGATGTCCGGCTTCGGCTGGGCATAAGGAACGGTGGTCCACCAGGCCTTTTGGCCAGGAGGACCAAATGGGAACCTTGTCCCTGTCAGGAGCTTCGTGCCCCGGGGGATCAGGGTAGCGGTCCAACCCCTTCGGGGGTAGGACAAAAGTACACCCTTAAGTGCACTTTTTGTGTGGTGTTTTGCACTTGCACTTTTTTGTGAACACTTACGGGTTTTTTCGTTATAGTTGCACGTTTGCGGACTTAAAAAAAAAAAAATCTATTGATTGGCAAGCTACAACATAGAACAACATTTTGGGTTTGGATTTAATATCGCTTTAATATTATAACTTTTATATTCAATACTGTTAATGCATAATGAATATATGTTATTCAATCAAATTAGAACAGAAGAGTACTGAGAGATAATACTTACAGGGATTCCTCTTTTTGAAGTCCGTTCCTCATATGTGAACTGGTGGACAGCAAAGGCAACTAAATATGTACTCATAGGGACTGACTTCTCGAACACAGTTTTTTTCCACCCATTTTCTATGTCAGTAGAAGTCTAAGTGAAAAAAAAAAACAATTTCTTATAAAAGTTTTAATATTAGAGCATTGTACTAACACATTTATAGACTGTATCTCCTACGAACACTGTAGAAGTAAAAAGAATCTTTCATCTGTACCCTCTGAGATTTAGATGTGCTAAATTACGCTTAAAGACAATTTTTGATTTACTTTTGATTAATGTACTTGTAGAAATAGAAAGTAAATTAGGTGTTAATAGAGATGAAAGGGGATTTGTTTCAAAGGAACTAAATAGGGATAACATATTATGAATGTCAGCAAACTGTTAAAGGAAACGTTCAAAGAGAGAAATATGTGAGTGTGCATTGATGGTCTCAACTATAAATGCAACTTGTGAGGCAGTTATGATGATCCAGCAAGTTTTCAAACATCAGAGAAACTAGCATGGAAAAACTATACATCCCAAGAGTTCTGACTACTCTTGCTGCATGTTTTTTTCCAGGTCAGTAACTCAGCTGATGTTCACTAGTTAAGACTGGCAGGCAAATAGCATTTTCAGAAGATGATCAACTATGACAGCCTAAACATTTATGCAGTGTAGGTGCCCTTCAAAGTGTATGTAAACCCAATATCTATTTTTCATTATGTTTGACATCTTTCCTTACTGTATATGTGTTTTTTTTTTTTACACAGTTGTTTTTTTTTTAAGACTGTTACTTAAAAAACCTACTAATACCTAATCTACATGTTGCATGCTGACAATGCTAATCTACTGCAATGCATGCTCCTTTAAATTGCCGTTGGGTTGCCTATCAAGTCTATCACATAGGCAGCCCAATGGGGCAAGCTGATGAATCTGCTGCTAATCACAAAGCAGAGGCATAGCATTATCGGTCTGCAACAGACAGGGGTTGGTCTCCTAAAGGCAAAATAATCTGTTCGCTTTGCAAGGGAAGTTGTACTTTGCAAGGAAATTGGCCTCAGAGCTTAGTGAGTGACGTGAAGCTCAGCTGACTTCCTTCATCCAATCATGTGCAAGCAAATTCTGGGCTTTTTTTTTACATTTTTTTATTGCATGATTGGGTATTCTTTGCAAAGTGAAATTATACCTCATTCACTACACTTGGGGCAAATTCCCTTGCAAAGTACAACTTCGCTTACAAAGTGAACAGCCTATTTTCCTTTAGTAAATCAACTCCCAGGTGTTGATACAGGCAAGATCTCCAGGTAAGAAATTTAGCAACAGTTTCCAAAAACAACTTGTTTAACCAAAGTAATATGCCAGCTAGAAACATAAGATTTTGGGTATACATACACTGTAAGAATTAGCATTATGGGTAGAAATGTTTATTTATTTATTAATGCCTGCTTTTTCACTTGTATACAGTTCTCTACATCTGAACTATGCTTTAAGTGGGGTACACACTATGAGAAAATCAGATGAACGACCATCCGATTTTCCACTAAGGCATGTATCATGATGTAACCACCAATGGTATTAACTTGTACGAAAATTCTCGAACGACAAAGGCAAATGTTCTTTTTGTGTACAATTTCTATGTTCGATGCCATCTTCTTCCGGGTCATTCTTTGCTTCTGATCATGAGTGTATTTTTTTATCATTTCCGTACAATTACTGTATACATTGAGTGAAAATCAGACTTCTTGTTCACCTACAATACAAATTTTCTAGCTTGCACCTTCGGGTTTTTTCATGAGGACAATCAGAATTGGCTGTTGAAAGCACTATATTAGTGAACAGATAATCGACCCATCGTTCCTCGTATAGAATTCTTCTTCATATTTTCTTATAGTGCGCACCCAAGCTTTAATCTTGATAGCTCTGCTGCTTTCAAAATATGCAGTATAACAGAATCACTGCAAGAAATTACAGCTTATGTGAAGTGTGTGATTAACAAACAGACTGTCACTTTATATACACTTCTGTGAATTTTAAAAGAGCCTTTAAACCTCAAAAAGGTGGTATTTGCCTTAAAAATATTTTTTATTCAGCGGTCACAATGTCTCTTCTGTTGGCTGGGGGGCATGACTAGAATGGAAGCTAGTCCTATGATGTAGATGTAGCAGTGTTGTGCAATCCACCCAGTGTTCCCTGAGCAGGATTGGGGGAAGTGTCCAATTTGGACCTCCTTGAAGGTCTTCAGAAAATGCAAGGTGCCCACAATATTAATACCAGTAAAGGTTATGCCCACTCCAGACTACAGATGTTTAAACTGAAATATTACTAATAGCATTTTCCTCCTTTTTCAACCTCTGTCTAAAAATATTTATGTTGCCCATTTGAGGCCAAAACCACTTTTACATGTAGTCTCTTTATTTTTCAACTCTTTCTGAGAAGAGACTCCAGGTTACCATGTAACAAAGGAAGAAGGGAAATGGTCTATCTTGGTTATTTTATACAATTCCATGGTGAAAGAACAAACACTCTGCAATGATGTGATTTATTTTTTAAACAGAATGGCCATCATATCCAGTTAACACCAAAAAAAAAAACGATTTTTAGATATTATTCTTTTTGTCCCAAATACATACCTCTTTTGGCATGTTTGAGATTGCATCATATTCAGCAAGGTGAATAATGGTTATATTATAAGTTGCCTTTTTGTTGGGTTCATCAAAGCAAGGGAATGATTTCCGTGCATCTGTTGGCTCATGATCTGTAGCTGCAATACTCCTGAAGAAAAGAGAGGCTTCTTTTAGTCTACTAGATTTCAGAGGTAATTAGGCTGCTTTGTGGTTTTTTTTTACAGTCAGTATCTCAACAGTCATATAAGTATATAACAGGCATATACTGTAAGTATATTTTTGTATATTATTGTTACAACATTTTTATGCATTTTTTTTCTTTGCTGTGTCACGTCTCAGAAGATTTAACCTCTGTATATGCCATGTATTGCCACCATGAAAGAAAGTGACGGGAAAGCCAAAATAAGTATATACTTCCAATTGGAACACTTATGCCAATGACAGCTGTCTAAGAGGGGAATTCCCTTTGCTTTGTTATGATTTCTACTTACTTTCTGTTGGATCACTGGGACACAAATTGAAGTAAAATCTCATCAACAGGATGCAAACAGCATAATTAAACTAACTTGTTTTAACCCTTACGTTTCTTAAACCGGTCATAGATGGATTGAATCTTGGCCGGTCCAGCAAGGACCAGCCTAGATTTGATCCATCTATGAGCAGTCTGATTGTACCCAGATCAACCCATGAATCAACTTGGGTACAACCAGTATGTTGGATTTATAACATCCGATTATTGCCAGTGGCTATAGCTGCTAGTAATAACTATTGTGTTCTCCCAGCAGGGACAGCTCCCTGCGCCCCCCCCCCCCATTTAGGAGAACACAATATCTCGATGGGAGGGATTCCCCCATCAACACTTTACTGAAACCCTGCAAAGGTTTGTTAAAAAACCTAAGCATCTATAGCAGCATGAAGAGGTCTATTTCACAATAGAGGCCTATTACCGTATTTTTCGCTCCATAAGACGCACTTTTTTCCCCCCAAAAAAGGGGGGAAAATGTCAGTGCATCTTATGGAGCGAATGTAAAGCGGCCGGTCCGGTATTTCTGCCACCACCATATCCGGCCACTCAGCTCTTCTCTCCTGCAGGACCTTACCTTCTGTGACAGTCTTCCCGCGGCGGCTTCTGTGACCCACTGCGCATGCACGAGAAGCGCTGCGCTTTGTGAATGGTCCGGCGTCTTCTGGGACACATGACAGGTCCCAGAAGGCTTCGGGCCATTCACAAAGCACAGCGCTTCTCGCGCATGCGCAGTGGGCACCCAGCTGTCACAGAAGCCGCCACGGGAAGAAGGAAGGACAACTCCGCGGAAGTGGGAGCGGGTACCTGTCAAAGTTCCCCCTCCCTCCCCAAAGGTCCACAGTCTCTGGTAATCTCCTTTACTGTCTGCAGTCTCTGGTCATCCCCTGCACTGTCTGCAGTCTCTAGTCATCTGTACTATGTCCACAGTCTCTGGTCATTCCCTGTACTATGTCTGCAGTCTCTGGTCATCTCCTGTACTGTGTCTGCAGTCTCTGGTCATCCCCTGTACTGTGTCCGCAGTCTCTGGTCATCTCCTGTACTATGTCCGCAGTCTCTGGTCATTCCCTGTACTGTGTCCGCTGTCTCTGGTCATTCCCTGTACTATGTCCGCAGTCTCTGGCCATTCCCTGTACTGTGTCCGCAGTCTCTGGTCATCCCTGTACTGTGCCCGCAGTCTCTGGTCATCTCCTGTACTATGTCCGCAGTCTCTGGTCATCTCCTGTACTGTGTCCTCAGTCTCTGTTCATCTCCTGTACTATGTCTGCAGTCTCTGGTCATCTCCTGTACTGTGTCTCTGGTCATCTCCTGCACTATGTCCGCAGTCTCTGGTCATCTCCTGTACTATGTCCACAGTCTCTGGTCATTCCCTGTACTGTGTCCGCAGTCTCTGGTCATCTCCTGTACTATGTCCGCAGTCTCTGGTCATCTCCTGTACTATGTCCGCAGTCTCTGGTCATCTCCTGTACTATGTCCGCAGTCTCTGGTCATCTCCTGTACTATGTCCGCAGTCTCTGGTCATCTCCTGTACTGTGTCCGCAGTCTCTGGTCATCTCCTGTACTGTGTCCACAGTCTCTGGTCCTTCTCCTGTACTGTGTCCGCAGTCTCTGGTCATCTCCTGTACTATGTCCACAGTCTCTGGTCATCCCCTGTACTGTGTCCGCAGTCTCTGGTCATCTCCTGTACTGTGTCTGCAGTCCATTGGTTCAGAATATTTTTTTTCTTGTTTTTCTCCTCTAAAACCTAGGCGCGTCTTATGGTCAGGTGCGTCTTATGGAGCGAAAAATACGGTATTTAATAATATTTTTGCCCACATAAATCTTTTCTGATATTTATATCCAGAGTCTTCGTGGTGTGTTGCTCATAACATTTGATGATATGTCATTAACACACACAGACATTTAAAAAATTAAACACGCACACACACATTCATTCTCTGCTGTGATGTTATAACAAGGGAAAACAGAAATATTTTATTGCAACTGGTATGTTTGTGTGGAAGGTCAAAATGCAGGACTTGATGTCAGCCATTGAACAAAGGTTGGTGTCTGCTTTTTTGTTTTTCATTGAATACTCTACCTTATTTTTCAGAATATCCATATTAAGAACTGTGTCTATAACTTTTATAGCAATCAATCAGATTAAATTTATGATTTTTTTTCAGCAATGTGAAAAGAAGCATGTGATTGGCTGCTATGGGATAGGCTGACCCTAGAAGATAAAATGGTTCTATCAAGAATTATCTAGAAGACATTTACCCAAATTGAAAAATACTAGGATGTACTACTCTATCTTGTGACTCCATACATGTGATTCTTAACTAGGTAAACAAAGAATCAGGCCTTGTCGCATAGAGATCTTTATAGAAAATCAGAAAATGTCTTTGATAACAAACACTTTTGGCTGTTGGGAGTGTTCATTACTGCCCCAATATAGCCTTACACAGCTCAATTTTCACTTGAGTGTAGCCTCCCTGCCCTAAGCAAAATTTAGTCACTCAGTGCTATGCAGCCCAAACTGATTTGTAACTTGTACTCAATTGGTCTAACTCTAAGCTCAGCATTGCTTTTGGTTCTGCTTTCTGTTCCCTCTGGCCAACCACTAGGAGGTTTATTGCCAGTGATGCATACTGCAGGAGATCATAAATATGTGGGGTTGACTTTTTGAGAGTGTCTTTCCCCCTGGGCTTTGGCCTGTCTGTAATCTGTCCTGTTAGGCCTATAGCATTTACGGGGCTTACCTGTGCTGATAGCTGGACTGGGACCAAATGTTATCCTTGGAACCTGTCCTGCCCGGTCGAGGGGGAAGCTGAACCAGGACTAAAAACCAGGAAGGAACGAAGAAGAATTTGGGAAAAGGATGATTTTCTGGCAGAGATCTGGTGACTCTTGTTAGGATGTACAGAGGTCTGAGAGGATGCCCAGGGATATGGCAATTACAGCGGGACAGAGTGGGTATTGGCAATGGCCCCTCAGGGAATCATAGCTGGACAGCACAGGTGTCTGTGGCGTTAGCCCTGGGTGGGCAAAGGGGATCGGTGAGCTTTGTACATTGGCATTTGGGACTAATTTTCAGCTGGTGTGTTTCGTTGAATGATACAGATGGGATTCTGATGGATGACCTTATCGTTCTTAATACTATTTTATTATTACTACACTGGCAGAATCTGCCCCATCAGCTCCCCCCCTTTTCTGCATATAGTAAGATACTACCAACACTGACTACTAATAAACCGACGTATGTTCCTTATGTGGATCCAAATTGGAGACTTGACTACACTTCCTCCACATAGTCTATATGATTGAATGTCTTTTAAGTGGCTTTGCATCTTCAAAATCGGTGATATCATTATACCTTCCTTGGTTGGAAGGAAGTCCTCTTTAGGACTGTCCACGACGTGGTCTATTCTTCTGGGATCCCCCTGTTGACTTGCCTGGGCATTGGATGCCTTATCCCCCTCCGTAACCCCTCGCTACGATGCCTGTGGTTTTAGTAACTCCTGAAGAAGCGATATTCTCGTGAAACATTTTGAGTCACTATGGTTATTGACATCTGATTCATGCATCCCTGACACCCTTACCAGGATACAGTATATTTGTATGGATCAAGATTTTATGTATCTACGAGATTTGTAACTGCATAGAATGTACCACCCCAATGGGGGACCTACATTCTTAACGGATGTTTTTTTTAATGTACTGTTGTGTAATTGTGTACATCCAATAAAGAAATGATTTTAATGAATATTGTTGCAGTGCCTCTAAAGTCCAAATTTCTGGCCTTCTTCTCTTGGTCGATCTATACTAGTTTTATTAGGACGTGGCACTTGGGAGCTTATTTTATATCCCCACAGCCACTACTCTGCGTTGGGTTCTGTTTACTTTTCATGGGGAAATACATAGAGACGCCTACTAGCCATTTGAAGTGTGCTATTTCCAGTGTTGCTGGTGTTGACTTGAAGGATATTGTACAAGCTGGATGTGGATCTGGAATCTAATGTTGCTTATGGATATCTGCACTCAATCCCTCTCTCCATGTTCATTAGGAGCAATAAAATCTTAAAAAGATACTAAATGTGACTGGCACCCAGTGTTTCTTAATCCCCCATTTCCAGCCATGTCAGCTTTCCCTGTCTCTAGGGGACCCTCAGGGGGCTGCTACATAAGAATTGTACTGGATAATCTTGTAGGAGCTGAACCATGTACATTATTGCCACCCTTACAGCAGCTGAAAAAATAAGGCATTCATTATTACAGCCTGCTATAGTTTGCCATGATGTATCATAAACAGCCAACAGACATTGCAATGGCAATGGTTTTGAACATAACATCTGCTAAATCATTAATATACTGAACCTTGAGCATAGTGGCTGCCCACTCTCAGGTTTAATTATTCTGGAATCTGAAGTATGTTGTTTGTGGTTTATTAGTGCTGACACTGTGCAGCCCTGCTTTCCTAAAGTGATATTATTGTAATCAAAGTATAATAAATCACAGAGTTGTCTTCTTCAACAGACAAGAGGTATCTGGTTTCCGAGTGTAGCAGACTTTTCATGCATTCGCTGAAAAACATTGGGGTTTATGGTGACACTGATCAGCACTGGGTCTGTATGCATACAGAACAACCAAAAGGAAGGAGAGATAGAAGCTATGGTAACTAATGTAAAAGATATGCAGAATCATTCAGTAAAAAGTGCTTCATTTTAAGTGCTCATATTAAAGTGATATTAACTCCTTCCTGCCGGCCACACACATATATGCAGCCTCTCAGCGGGTGGGCCTTGATGACGAGAGGACATATTTATGCAAACCCCCAAAAAAAAAAAACTGTGCTGGGAGTGCACACCATGCACTCTTCCAGCACAGATATTGGTGGCTAACGGAAAGCTCCTAATCTCTACTTGCGATCGGGAGTTTTCCCAATATGTGCCTGCTGTGACAGCCAATCACAGTGGTTACATGATCACAAAACCTACCCAGGAGGTGCCAGTGCCAAAGGGGTTAAAGGCTCTTTTATTTTAATCGCTTCCTATCTACACATTGCCTATAAGCAGCTGATGGGATGCAGTGCCGATACGGGCTAAAATGACTCAAAGAGTGCTCACCCGTGAGCCCGACAACCCGAGTGTTACCCAGAGACAGCATATCACATTACCTCTGTGTCCGGGTGATCACATAGTATTTTACCATGTGATTGCTGTGTCCAGTAGAGAATAAAAGCAAACATCGCTTCTCTCTGCTCTCACTGTGAGAGCAGAGAGAAGCGATGCTGCAGCCTGTGAGTGTACAAGCAACCCTTCAGGCTGCTTGTACACTTACATACTGCAGTGCCAGCCACCCTAGTATCCATGATCACTTCCACAGTGTAGTACCTAATAAAAAATGCATTCAGCACCTGTCACCTGTCCCAGTGCTCACAAAAACACCCTCATACACCATACCAATATCCTGATCACCACCATACCAGTATCTTGATCAATGTCATATCCCATACCAGAGCCCTGATCACCACCATACCAGCATCTTGATCAATGCCATATCCCATACCAGCGCCCTGATCACCACCATATACCATACCAGCGCCCTGATCTCCACCATACACTATACCAACATCCTGATCACTGCCATATGTTATACCAGCGTCTGGAATTTTAGAGTCTCAACTGATCCATTTTCAGATATACAGTATATACACAACATAGTTTGTAAACTCTATAACTTTCACACAGACTAAATAATATACACTGTTTTGGGTTATTTTTACCCAAAGAATGTAGCAGAATACATTTGGTCTAAATTTATGAAGAAAGATCATTTATTTGCAAAATTTTATGACAAAAACTAAGCATAACATTTTTTTTCCAAATCTTTGGTATTTTTTCATTTATATAGCAAAAAAAAAAAAAAAAAAAAAACAGTGATGATCATATACCACCAAAATAAAGCTCTATCTCAAAAAAATTATAAACAATTCATTTGGATATAGTATTGTATGACTGAGTAATTGTCATTCAAACTGTGACAGTGATGAGAGCTGAAAATTGACGTGGACTGGAAGTGGATGAAAGTGTCCGGACTTGAAGTGGTTGAATATAACAAACATGTCGTACTTACGTGCAGCCTTGATCCTCTTCTTCTTGGGTTCACCGCTGGCGCTCCTGGCCCCTCCCCACTGCTCAGTGCCCCCATAGTAAGCTGCTTGCTATGGGGGCACTGGTACATGCTTGCTCCTGAGCCGGACTTTGTGTGACTAAGAGACACACAGAGCGCAGCTTAGCCCTACCTCCTGCTCTTTCCAGACTGGCTGTGATTGACAACAGTTGGAGCCAAATCAGGAGAGAGAGACCCAGGAGAGCTGAAGCTTCCATGCACAGCGCTGGATTGAGAGAGGGCTCAGGTAAGTATTGGGGGGCTTTGGGGGTTGCAGCACGCAGGTTTAGCCTTTAGCCTTTACAACCACCTTTAGCCTTTACAACCAATTTAATACAAAAACTCAAAAGATACTGATCAGAATTAATCTTGTACTGGTCTGATTTTACTGAACTTAACCCTTTTGCTGCTAGGGCTATTTTTGAGTTTTTGTTCACGTGTGCATTTTAGGCTTGAAGATTCCCTAAAACTCCCAAAACTCTGAAAGCAGAGATCTTGGAGAATAAAATAGTGGTAGTGTAATTTCATTTAAGGGAGCAGAAATGCAACATAATACCCAATTGTTGGTTAAAGATGAGGCTGCGCCAACTAACTAGATACCCAAAATGTTGAGCCTTAAAATTGCATCCATGAAACAACAGCAAACTTTGGTACCTTAAACTTTCTATAAGCCTTTTTTTGGGGGGGGGGGGGGGGGGGGGGAGGAGGGTGTTAAGTGCTTAGGTGTAACAAATTGTTTTGCACAATTTTTTCACTAAAATGAATTATTTTAATCACATAGAGAACAGGTTTTTCTTAAGGGAGACAGGCCTCTGATGTCTTACCTGCCCCCCATTGAAGCTAATGAAGCGCAGATCGCTCTCTATAGCCACAGTGGCTGGGGATAGTGACAGTAATACATGTCACTTCCAGGTTTTTACCAAGAAGGAAAGATCAGCAAATGGATGTTCGCCGGTCTCCTTCCCCTCTACCCAGGGCCCCACCATGCACGTCCAGTGTCTACAGGTGGAATAGCGAAGCCAGGGAAACGTATTGGGGGTTCCGCAGGGGACCTACAGATTGCTTCCTGACAACTGAAAGTAGGCTTGCCTGATTTATACACATTACCAGGCTGCTGCAGTGTATAAAGGAGCACCCTGCTGCAACCGACGTATGCCATATGTTGATAGCAGCGAAAGGATTAAAGAACAAGTTTATTTTTAGTGCACAGTAAGAAGAGAGGCTGGCAGGGACATTTTCAAAAGAAAAACTATGCAATGTGGGGCAGAACTGCACAATGGATATCACTGAATGGGGGATGAATATAAATATCTAACAATTCAGAGGGAAGAGAGAATTATTAAAGGACAAGTTTACTAAAAGTAATCTTGTCCTTTCAACTACTGTATATCTAAATCCAAGAACAAAAATGTAATTAATTGCAGCTTACCAGCCTTTAGATGTTACCCCTATGATCCTTCCAGTAAGATATTTCCTGACATAGTTCACTCACTGTACCTGTTGAGGAGCAGAGTTGTCACCCTAGTCTGCTCACTCCTGATTTAGACTACAGTTCACCTCTGAGAACTGTAAGTAAGGCACAGAGACATGAATGGATGAGGGAGTTTACTTTGAATGATATAAATTAATTAATTAGTGTTTTCAGTTTGTGGCACTCAGATACAGTTTATTTCCACTCTAATGTCAGCCGTAAAGGATATGTTCACCTTCTGGAACATGTTACATGTTTGTTGCACTCGTTTTTATGGTGGAACATTTAACATGTTCCCAATGCTGCAGCCGTCACCCAATCATCCTCCCTCCCTGTGTCAGCAGTACGGGGAAAAGATCCCTTTTGAATAGAGCGTGGCCGTGCGGGGTGACATTACAAAGAATTTGTTTTTTTGCATGGAAAAATGCAGCTATCAAGTCACTAATCTTGGTGTGCCCCCTCCCCCTTACCTGCATACATGGCAGGTATAGATTGAACACATAGTTAAAATCAACTAAATAACTACTTGCATCCACTGAAATGTGCACCATGGCCGAATGTGCAGGACCGATATAAATGGGAATGAAGCATTAGCATAGGCAGATACATGTCAAACATTAGGCAGCAACTCTACATGCATGAGCAATTAAATGTCAATGGATCATTCCCACTGTTCTACAGGTCTGGTTTTCATTCTAAGAATCACAGGCTTTTATCTATGATGTTGTTTGAAAGTGATTTTTTTTTCTAACAACCATTGTTGTTTTTCACTGTAGGAATGAAAATATTCGTATGACGCCATGAAGCTAGTAAAAAGTGCCAGCTAGGGATGCCAGATGTAGTGCAAATTGCTTTGGACACCTGGAACAAATAGAAAGTGTAATTGCAGCCAGCCAGTCATGATACATTGGACTACAAGAAACAATGTGGAATTTGTAACACACAGCACAATCTAATGAGCATTTATTTTATTTTATTTATTTCAGGTACTTCTATAGCGCCGTCAATTTACACAGCGCTCTACACACACACACACACACACACACATATATTGTACATTCAAATCATTAATTTGGCATTAATCCTATACATGTACTTTAAAGACAGCATGCTAGCTTTGTTTCACACTACTGCACAACAGTGATGTGCGTTTTATCGTGTTACCACAATCATCATTAATACATGCCACTTTTTACAGCACGCTCCATTGAAATTCACTTTTAGATACTGGCCTTTTAAAAGGAAGCATTTGCATAGATCTCACCCCAATGTAACATTGATTATAAGGTCCTTGAGGGCAGGGACTGATGTGAGTATACAATATAGACCATATTTTTCGCTCCATAAGACGCACCTGACCATAAGACGCGCCTAGGTTTTAGAGGAGAAAAACAAGAAAAAAAATATTCTGAACCAATGGACTGCAGACATAGTACAGGAAGTGACCAGACACTGCAGACATAGTACAGGAGATGACCAGAGACTGCGGACACAGTACAGGAGATGACCAGAGACTGCAGACATAGTACAGGAGATGACCAGAGACTGCAGACATAGTACAGGAGATGACCAGAGACTGCGTACATAGTACAGGAGATGACCAGAGACTGCGGACACAGTACAGGAGATGACCAGAGACTGCAGACATAGTACAGGAGATGACCAGAGACTGCGGACACAGTACAGGAGATGACCAGAGACTGCGGACACAGTACAGGAGATGACCGGAGACTGCGGACACAGTACAGGAGATGACCAGAGACTGCAGACATAGTACAGGAGATGACCAGAGACTGCGGACACAGTACAGGAGATGGACCAGAGACTGTGGACACAGTACAGGAGATGACCAGAGACTGCAGACAGTACAGGGGATGACCAGAGACTGCGGACAGTATAGGAGATGACCAGAGACTGCGGACAGTACAGGAGATGACCAGAGACTGCGGACAGTACAGGGGATGACCAGAGACTGCAGACAGTACAGGGCATGACCAGACACTGCGGACCTTTAGGGAGGGAGGGGGAGCGGGTACCAGAATTTGACAGGTACCTGCTCCCACTTCCGCAGAGTTCTCCTTCCTATACTGTGGGCACCCACCTTTGACAGCCGGGTGCCCACTGCGCATGCGCGAGAAGCGCTGTGCTTTGCGAATGGCCTAGCGTCTTTTGGGACCTGTCATGTGTCCCAGAAGACACCGGACCATTCACAAAGTGCAGTGCTTCTCACGCATGCGTAGTAGGCACCTGGCTGTCACAGATGCCAAGGCAGGAAGAAGCTGGCGCGGGAAGACTACAGCGCTGGACCGAGGAAGAGGTGAGTTCCTGCCGCAGAGACCAGCTGAGCGGCCGGCCCGGTATTCTGACATGGTGGCGGTTCAAATACCGGACTGGCCGCTTTATATTCGCTCCATAAGACGCACTGACATTTTTTACCCCTTTTTTGGGGGGAAAAAAGTGCAACTTATGGAGCGAAAAATACGGTATGTTTAAAATTGTTGCAATTACAAATGTTTAGGCATTCTCGTGTTTGTATTGGTATGACACAAAAAAAAAGTGGAGAAAAAAAAAAGCAAAATCTGACACATTCCAACCAAAACCCCCAAAAATGGCCTGGACAAAGTTATCGGCACCCTTAATTTAATATTTGGTAGCACACCCCTTGGAAAAAATAACTGAAATCAATCGCTTTCTGTAATCATCAATGAGTTTCTTACACCTCTTTATTGGAATTTTGGACCACTCTTCTTTCGCCAACTGCTCCAGGTCTCTCAGATTGGAAGGGTTCCTTTACCCAACTGCTGTTCTGAGATGTCTCCACAGGTGCTCTATGGGATTGAGATCTGGACTAATTCTGGCCAGTTCAGTACTCTCCAGCACTTTGTCTGAAACCATTTCTAGGTGCTTTTTGATGCGTGCTTTGGGTCATTGTCCTGCTGTAAGACCCATGACCTATAACTGAGACACAGCTTTCTGACACTGGGCCCTACATTGGGCCCTACACCCCAGAATTCTTTCGTAGTCTTTAGATTTCATAATGCACACGATCAAGACATCCTATGCCTGAAGCAGTAGAGCAATCCCAAAACATCAGTGAACCTGCACCATGTTTGACTGTAGGGATTGTATTCTTTTCTTTAGAGGCCTCATTTCTTTTTCTGAAAACAATAGAATGATGGGCTTTACCAAACACCTGTAATTTTGTTTCGTCTGTCCACAGCACATTCTCCCAAAAGGATTTTAGTTTCACCAGGTATGTTTTGGCAAACTCCAATCTTGCTTTTTTATGTTTCTGTGTCAGCAGTGGGGTTCTCCTGGGTCTTCTTCCATAGCATCCCTTTTCATTCAGATGGCAATGCATAGTGGGAGCTGACACAGTTGTACCTTGTGCCTGAAGATCAGCTTGAATTTGTCTGGAAGTTGATCGAGGTTCTTTATGCACCATTCAAACAATCCTTTGTTGCAATCTTTGAACAATTTTTCTCTTTCATCCACGTCCAGGGAGATTAGCTACAGTGCCATGGGCTGTAAACTTCTTTACAATAAACACAGGAACATTAATATCTCTGGAGATAGACTTGTAACCTTGAGATTGTCCTTGCTTTTCCACAATTTTTGTTCTCAAACCTTTAGACAATTCTTCTGCTCTTTTTCTTTTTCATGCTCCATGTGGCACACCGAGACACACAACAGAAAGGTTGAGTAAATTTTTCACCATTTTAACGGATTGCTGGTGTAATTTCTATATTTTTCAGCACCTATTAAGTGACACTGGTGAGTTTAATTACAAATTACAGGAGCATCACAAACTTGGAATGCAATTATTTCTTACAATTTTGAAGAGTTGCCAATAATTTTGTCCAGTCCATTTTTGGGGTTTTGCGTAGAATGTGTCAGATTTGGCTTTTTGTTTCTCCACTTTTTTGTGTCATACCAATACAAACAACAGAAATAAATATGAGAATGCCTAAACATTTGTATTTTCTGGGCAAAGTGGTGCAGTATCTGACAGAAATGCAGGGGTGCCAGTATTTTTGGCCATGACTTTATATAAGTACCTGTAATGTTATAACAGAGTTTGGAGCACCAAAAGAAAGGAGGAACGGATAAATTTAGCCACCCTTTAAGAGGTTTCAGAAGGAGGGGTGGGGTTTTTGATCTTGTGACCGCCATGATTGATGGTCATAGTTAGAGATGAGCGAATTATTCAAAAATTCGGTTCGGCTGATTCGCCGAATTCGCGGAATAAACTAGCTTCGAGCCGAATATATTCGCTGCGAATTTAACTTATAAAAAGGGTGTTTCTAGGCTTCAGAGAGCCTTTATATTAGTGCAGAACACTGTACCTTTAATTTAAATGCCCTTGGAGTCTGCTGGGGAAGAGAAATAATACTGTCAGTCAGTATGACATGCAGATGAGTGCCGTCGATCTTAGAATCACCGCACACTTCACTCATTTGGGCAGTCACGGGGCCAAAACCAGAGTGTGGAGCCACAGTGTGGCGGTGGAGGCAGCAGCAAATGGGAGGCCATACAGCACCCTATGACAAAATGGAACCCACCAGCAGTGTGAGGAGACCTGAAAGTGGCACATGGCAGAGTGTGGCGATGGAGACAGCAGCAATGGGAGGCCGTACAGGGACCCATGACACACTCTGGACCTGGCAGCAGCATGAGGAGGCGGTACAGGGGCCCATGACAGATTATGGGCCTGGCAGCAGCATGAGGAGTCGGTACGGGGGCCCATGGCAGATTACGGGCCTGGCAGCAGCATGAGGAGGCGGTACAGGGGCCCATGGCAGAGTGGCGGAGCGTAAGCAGCTAAAATTGAAGGCCATACAGAGGCCTATGTTAAAAAGTCCCCCCAGCAGCAGCGTGGGGAGACGACTATCAAGAGTGCAATGGCAGAGTGGCGGAGCAGAAGCAGCTTCAATTGAAGGCCATACACAGGCCTAGGTTTAAAAGTCCCTCACAGTTAATTCCAATAACGAACTCTACTCCTCCGTGCAATCTACTTACGAGACCCTGGGCAGGTCTGGGTCCAATTTGTGGTAGAGACTGGTTTTGTTCAGCCATGCTTGAGCGAGTAATAACAGGTCTGTGCTGCCCTTTGGTGTCTGGCTTAATGCGCACAACACTGAACGTCCCAGCGTTTGTCAACGATTTGCCGTTAAGTGATGCAAACCCGCTGAACCACGTTCATGAGGAGCCGGTACAGGGGGCCATGAATCAGTATGGACCTGGCAGCAGCGTGAGCAGACGACAGAGGCACATGGCGCAGGGTGGCAGTGTAGGCAGCATTATTCTGAAGCCATACACAGGCTAGGTTAAAAAGCAGAAGCCATCAGCAGCGTGAGCAGACGACAGAGACACATGGCGCAGGGTGGCGGTGGATGCAGCAGTATTCGGAAGCCAAACACAGGCCTCGGTTAAAAAGCGGAAGCCGTCAGCAGCGTGAGCAGACGACAGAGGCACATGGCGCAGGGTGGCGGTGGAGGCAGCAGCAATGGAAGGCCATACAGCACCCTATCACAAAATGGAACCCACCAACAGTGTAAGGAGACCTGAAAGTGGCACATGGCAGAGTCTGGCGATGAAGTCAGCAGCAATGGGAGGCCGTACAGGGACCCATGACACACTCTGGACCTGGCAGCAGCAAGAGGAGGCGGTACAGGGGCCCATGGCAGAGTGGCAGCAGCAGTGTGGGGAGACGACTATCAAGAGTCCAATGGCTGAGTGGCGATCCGGGAAGTCAGCGTTGTGATTGCAGATGCAATGCAGAGATTCTATGAGGTAATGCCGTGGGTGCGAAGAAGATCATATACCGTCGTACTTCCATCCATAAGACGGAACAACCTGCGAACCGGGAACTTTATTGCCCTGACCCGCTGAGCAGCTTCTGGGATACCCAAGAGGCCCATGGCAGAGTGGCGGAGCGTAAGCAGCTTCAATTAAAGGCCATACAGAGGCCTATGTTAAAAAGTCCCCCCAGCAGCAGCGTGGGGAGACGACTATCAAGAGTCCAATGGCAGAGTGGCGGAGCGGAAGCAGCTTCAATTGAAGGCCATACACAGGCCTAGGTTAAAAAGTCCCCCCAGCAGCAGTGTGGGGAGACGACTATCAAGAGTCCAATGGCTGAGTGGCGATCCGGGAAGTCAGCGTTGTGATTGCAGATGCAATGCAGAAATTTTATGAGGTAATGCCGTGGGTGCGAAGAAGATCATATACCGTCGTACTTCCATCCATAAGACGGAACAACCTGCGAACCGGGAGCTTTATTGCCCTGACCCGCTGAGCAGCTTCTGGGATACCCAAGAGTTTGGCTTCTGTGGGGAATATGGTTGAAAACTGAAACTTAAAGGCATGTTGACGGAAGGGCACCAGTGTCAGTGCTCCGGAGGGAATATAGCTTCAAAGCTGACACTTAAAGGTATATCGACGGTCAGAGACCACAGGAAGTGGAGCTTGCGTCTTAAATCGACTGAATGTGGCAGACGTGAAACGTCTACGGGCCGTATATGAAACGGGTTGTTCCTCTTTCTGGAATAAGTGTTGGAAATGGCCACTCTTTTTGGTGTGGCGTTTTGTCTATTTAATTCCGATAACGGACTCTACTCCTCCGTGCAATCTAGTTACGAGACCCTGGGCAGGTCTGGGTCCAATTTGTGGTAGAGACTGGTTTTGTTCAGCCATGCTTGAGCGAGTAATAACAGGTCTGTGCTGCCCTTTGGTGTCTGGCTTAATGCGCACGACACTGAACACTGTGTCCCTGAGTAACGATTCTGTGTCCCTGAGTAACGATTCTGTGTCCCTGAGTAACGATTCTGTGGCCCTAAAGTCTCTGTGGCCCTAACTCTGTCCCTTAATACACACAGGTCTGTCTCTCTTGAATGACCGGAGGCTAATGGAGAATTCTAAGATGGCCGCGATTTATAGCTCCACCATTACACAGTGCTGGCTGGCTGCTGATTGGCTAATGCGATCACATGTCATGAATGCATTATGGGTCAGCGCGCCTTGTCTGCGCGCCTTCCCAGAGATCCCCGCCCCATCTTCTCTGTCCATTTTCTCCGTCGCCACACATGTCGCCGCCATTTTTGGGAAAATTCGATTCGTGCATCCGAAGTTTGCTAATCTTCGGATTCGTCGCGAATAGAATTTTTCCAAATCTTCTGAACGAATTCCACTTCGTCATGTTCGATTC